AGGCACCGTGGACAGCCAGCTTCCTGACTGCTTTTATGGGATCCCAGCAAAAATGACCAGAAACACGTCAGGCTGTAGAGCCTCTCCACGTAGAGCACACAATTCAACCTCTAGCCTGTGGCTTCCTCCTTGGATTCAGGCCTCAGACACATTCTGTAGACCTCACAGGGATCACGGCTTACCCTTGTGATAATAGCAAGGACACTCTGGGGGGGTTCTCATCGACCATGCTGGTCTAGCTGCCTTCACTCATTAAACAAATTCGTATTGACAGCCGACTGTATTCCAGGCACAATGCCACACCCTGGTGAGCAAAACAAGCCGCCCTCAAGAAGATTATTGTTCAATGGGGAAGACAGACGTTAAAAAACTGCATAATAATGAAACAGACTATCACTGACTATAGTAAGGACCATGAAGAAAGACACAGGAGTGGTTAAAAAGAGGGTACCGTAAGTGACATCTAAGCTGAGACCAGGTCAAGGATTTGGATCCCTGTACTGGCCAGCCGCCGAAAAAACAAAAAATAAGCAAGACCCCAAAGATGGGAAGGAAGAAGAAAGAGCATTTTCCAGACAATGGGAAGAGCGTGTGGGAAAGCCTGAGGCAGGAAGGAGCTGGGAACCTTGGAGCATCTGGAAGACGGCTGGCCTGGCTGGAACACAGAGGAGGGTAAGCCGGCAGGGGCCACAGAACAGCCTGGGTGTTCACTCCACCTGCCCTGCAGGCTAGGAGTGGGAAGGGAGGATTTGAACTTTTAAAAAATCATTGCAAGCCACCCGGTGCAGAGCAAAGTGGGGAGACCAATGAGGGGGTTGCTGCAGCTGACAGCAGAAGGGGGCTTGGGTAAGGGGAGTGGCTGTGGCAGGGGCGAGAAGTGCCAGCTTTGAGGACTGTTTAGGAAGTAAAATCAAAGGACTTGGTACCCACTAGGGAAATGCAAATGAAAACCACAATGAGACAACCACTTCTCACACTCTACCATGGTTAAACCAAAAAAAGACAGACAATAGTAAGTGTTGGCAAGGATGTGGAGAAAACCAGGACCCTCTTGCACCGCTGGCGAGACTGGAGAATGGTATACCACTTTGAAAAAGTTTGGCAGTTTCTCCCAAAGTTAAACACAGAGTAACCATAGGACCCAGCAGTTCCACTCCTATATACATACTCAAGAGAAATGAAAACATATGTCCACACAAAAACTTGAACACAATCTTCACAGCAGCACTATAGCCCCAAAGCAGAAACAACATAAATGGCCATCAACTGGTGAAGGAGTAAATAAAACGTGGTATGTCCATACGACAGAATACTATTTAGCCATAAAAGGAAGTGAAGCACTGACACATGCTACAAACAGATGAATCTTAGAGATTACCCCAAGTAAAAGAAGCCCGTCACAAAGAGCACCTACTGTCTTGCTCTATTTATGTGAAATGTCCAGAACAGGCAAATCCATAGACAGAAAATAGATCAGTGGTTGCTGGGGGCAGGGCAGGAGACGGGGGGGAACGGGGAATAGATGCTAATGGGTACGGGGTTTCTTTTAGAGATGATGAAAATGTTCTAAAGCTGATTGTGGCAATAGTTGCACAACTCTGTGAATATACATTGAATTGGAGACTTTTTTCTATTTTTATTGAGGTATAATGAACAAAAAGCATATATTTAAGGTGTACGAGGTGATGTTTAGACATACATGTGCACTGTGAAATGATTGCCACAGTCAAGCTAATTAATATCCATCACCTCACATGGCCACGTGTGTGTGTGTGTGGTGAGGACACTTCAGAGTTACTCTTTTAGCAGATTTCAAGAATACACGCAATATATATATATATTTTTTGTCTTTTTTCGTGTCCGGCAACAGATCGCAGCCCTCAGTGTCGCGCCCACACCGGACCGGGACCAGCAACGGGATCACAACCCTCGGTGTCGCGCCCGCACCTCGCTCAGCCAGTGAGCGGGAACTGGTCTGTATGTGGGATCTGGACCCTCGGCGGGAGTGCAGCCACGCTCTCAAGCGGCGCACTGTAGCAGTGCGCCACCGGGCCAGCCCGATACACGCAATATTTTTAACTGCAGTCACCATGCCGTATATCAGATCTCCAGAACTTATTC